CTTGCAGTGTATATATTGTTTACTTTTTGTCTTTTTAAAATGTTTCAGATATTCTCCTTTGTTGCATGTGTGTATTGTGATTATATCTATGTACAGTTGGTCAAATCTGTGCTCATCAGTACAATTTCTCTGTACAAATGCATTGGGATATCAGCTCTTCAAAAACATTCATGTCTGTATTGTACATTTTACAAGCTTGAGAGCCTTACTGTGTCTATTCCCATATTTAGAGCATTTTTTTTCTAATTAAAATTGTTTACTGAGGCTACATTTATTCAATTTAATACAAAAAAGACATGGCAACTAAAGAGCCAGCAGTGGATGCATAATGACAACATATATTGCAGGGAATTCAATATGCAAAAAACAACAACTTAAATTTGAGTTTCATTTAATATTTTTACAATTTATAATTTTTTTCAATTTGACAATTTGTATTGTTGGTACATATCTCGAAGTAACATCAATGTACATTGTTACACAACAAATAAAATTGTTATGATACAATACATACATTGGAGCACTAGTGAAGTGAGGTGAAGTGATGTATCGACAATTCTCAAGTATGTGACAAGAGCTACAGCATGAACAGGGAGTATGTTGAGCTAAATTTATTACATTCTTAGCCACTAAACAAACTTCTATCGAGAGTACGTCCTCTACCCTCCCCCATGTTAACTGGTACACGTATCCCACTCAAGGAAAGAGGATCCCGTGAGCAACTCAAGGGTATGGAGGTTGGACATAGGTACATACTGATAAGTTTATATTCTCAAAACATCTGTCATAATACGAAATATGATCTTTTGAACAGCAAATGCTTTGGCCATTATCATCACCTGTCTAAATTATGTTCTGTGGAAGGGGCCTGGTATTATAAAGTCGGCATTCATCTCCACTGTACATTATATGAGGGGATACTTAAAAGGACACTATAGTCACCAGAACAACTACAGCTTATTGAATTTTTTTCTGGTGAGTAGAATCATTACTTTCAGGCTTTTTGCTGTAAACACTGTCTTTTCAGAGAAAAAACTGTGTTTACATTACAGCCTAGTGATAACTTCACTGGCTACTCCTCAGATAGCTGTTGGAGATCCTTCCTGGGTCATGGCTGCCTAAAATGCATCCAAACATTCAGTATCTCCTCCCTCTGCATGCAGACACTGAACATTCCTCATGGAGATTCATTGATTCAATTCATCTCTATGATGAGATGCTGATTGGCCAGGGCTGTGTTTGAATTGTGCTGGCTCTGCCCCTGATCTGCCTCCTTGTCAGTCTCAGCCACCACTTCTAATGATGACAGCAGACAGCTTGTTTTTCTGAGGCAAACAGCATACAGAGCTACAGCTTTAGGCTTGCATACAAGTAAGATTTTGCTATATTTATGGAGGCATGAGGAGCCCAGAGTGGCTAGATGGTGGTTTTAACACTACAGGGAGTGCAGAATTATTAGGCAAATTAGTATTTTGACCACATCATCCTCTTTATGCATGTTGTCTTACTCCAAGCTGTATAGGCTCGAAAGCCTACTACCAATTAAGCATATTAGGTGATGTGCATCTCTGTAATGAGAAGGGGTGTGGTCTAATGACATCAACACCCTATATCAGGTGTGCATAATTATTAGGCAACTTCCTTTCCTATGGCAAAATGGGTCAAAAGAAGGACTTGACAGGCTCAGAAAAGTCAAAAATAGTGAGATATCTTGCAGAGTGATGCAGCACTCTTAAAATTGCAAAGCTTCTGAAGCGTGATCATCGAACAATCAAGCGTTTCATTCAAAATAGTCAACAGGGTCGCAAGAAGCGTGTGGAAAAACCAAGGCGCAAAATAACTGCCCATGAACTGAGAAAAGTCAAGCGTGCAGCTGCCACAATGCCACTTGCCACCAGTTTGGCCATATTTCAGAGCTGCAACATCACTGGAGTGCCCAAAAGCACAAGGTGTGCAATACTCAGAGACATGGCCAAGGTAAGAAAGGCTGAAAGACGACCACCACTGAACAAGACACACAAGCTGAAACGTCAAGACTGGGCCAAGAAATATCTCAAGACTGATTTTTCTAAGGTTTTATGGACTGATGAAATGAGAGTGAGTCTTGATGGGCCAGATGGATGGGCCCGTGGCTGGATTGGTAAAGGGCAGAGAGCTCCAGTCCGACTCAGGCGCCAGCAAGGTGGAGGTGGAGTACTGGTTTGGGCTGGTATCATCAAAGATGAGCTTGTGGGGCCTTTTCGGGTTGAGGATGGAGTCAAACTCAACTCCCAGTCCTACTGCCAGTACCTGGAAGACACCTTCTTCAAGCAGTGGTACAGGAAGAAGTCTGCATCCTTCAAGAAAAACATGATTTTCATGCAGGACAATGCTCCATCACACACGTCCAAGTACCTCACAGCGTGGCTGGCAAGAAAGGGTATAAAAGAAGAAAATCTAATGACATGGCCTCCTTGTTCACCTGGTCTGAACCCCATTGAGAACCTGTGGTCCATCATCAAATGTGAGATTTACAAGGAGGGAAAACAGTACACCTCTCTGAACAGTGCCTGGGAGGCTGTGGTTGCTGCTGCACGCAATGTTGATGGTGAACAGATCAAAACACTGACAGAATCCATGGATGGCAGGCTTTTGAGTGTCCTTGCAAAGAAAGGTGGCTATATTGGTCACTGATTTGTTTTTGTTTTGTTTTGAATGTCAGAAATGTATATTTGTGAATGTTGAGATGTTATATTGGTTTCACTGGTAATAATAAATAATTGAAATGGGTATATATTTGTTTTTTGTTAAGTTGCCTAATAATTATGCACAGTAATAGTCACCTGCACACACAGATATCCCCCTAACATAGCTATAACTAAAAACAAACTAAAAACTACTTCCAAAAATATTCAACTTTGATATTAATGAGTTTTTTGGGTTCATTGAGAACATGGTTGTTGTTCAATAATAAAATTAATCCTCAAAAATACAACTTGCCTAATAATTCTGCACTCCCTGTATAGGGTCAGGAATACATGTTTGTGTTCCTAACCCCATAGTGTTCCTTTAACCAAGGAGCCTGTGCTCATACAGTGAGTACCAGTACCCCTCATGATTTGCCACTGCCTCCTTTGTATATATCGATATCTAATTTTAACATAAAGAAAACAGAATGCTATAAACACATAGATTCATGATGAAAAACTCCACCAAGGCTTTTGAGAAAAATATATGATACAAAGTACACATGAACCACAGATATATATATACACAGAAATGGGATACAGCTTGGCACAATGAAAAGAAAAAATGGAACGGCACATAGTAATGTATTATAACATAAAGTAAATCAAGTGACTCAATGATTGCACTCACAAGAAGTAAATCGAATCAGCGCCCTGAGGCCCTCAAAGGGCTATGGCTATCCACTCTCCTTCTCTGAATGTAGTAGATGACCAATTAAGGAACAGGAATCTCAATCGTGGGATCAGGTACAAAGTCAATAATAAATTATAGGTAGGATTATATATACGTATATATTATTATTGTTTTTAATCTTAATTTTATTGGAGGTTTAATGTCTAAATAAAATTATACATTTTGTACCTGATCCCACGACTGAGATTCCTGTTCCTTTATTGGTCATCTACTACAACCAGAGAAGGAAAGTGGATATATTTGCAGGGGTATATTTGTAGTAGTTTAGAAACACTAACATTCTTTTTTCTGGAGGGGAGGGTGGCAAGCCAAATAAATATGGGAAAATTTAGTGTCTCTTTAATCCTATTACATGTTTCAGTTCTGCAGGGACCCTGGCCCCTCATTGTTAGCTGTTTGGACAAGCTTTCTTGAGCAGCATCTAGGCATGTCAAAATTAAATGGACCTGGTTTGAACTTTGTTTCAGCAGGTTTTGCACATGCCTAGTGTCCTTTAAAAAGGAAATTCTGGAATTTCCATTTAGTTGCTATTTGGGCAGCAGAGCTAGCTGCCCATGAGGGGAGGTATGACATAGGCCTCTCTATTCAGTTACCTGCATTGGCTCATAGTACCAGGGGTGGGGGTTACAGTGCCTACAGAATATAGAAACAAGAAGCCATCTTGGAAGAAACACAGAGAGAGTGCAGCAGCAGCAGTTCCTTGTCCCAGCCAAATTAATGTATATAATATTAACCTTTTCTCTCCCTCAAAAGCCCTAACGACTGTCTGAGGGCTGATTAAGCAAGATGGAACTATTCAAATAATTAATTAATATAAAGCCAGGGGAGCACTGGGGTAACAGGGGCATTTCTGACACAGAGCACTGGCTAGTCTGTCACTAATAGTTTTAATAAAACGTATTGCATATACCCACCAACTTCTTTAAAGTGTTCAGTCACTCTGTATCTGTGAATTGAGACACTCATACTGTGGCTTGTTGAAAAGTTGTACAGTTTCAAACTGCAGGACTGTAGCTGTGACTTTGATGACTGATTTGATTTGAGATCTAAATCTATTTAATCTGTAATGACTGTTGATTCTCTTAACCATGTCAGCTACTTATTGGCTCCATCGTACCATTGCAGGTTAATTATATTGCCAGCTGCAGAAGTAAAAAGAAATTTACCAGTATCCTGCTTTTTAACCCTGTGTCCTGAGAGCTAATAGTGAGTCAGGAGCAGGGGCGGACTGAGAGCCTTTGGGGCCCCCGGGCAAAATTAGATCCCAGGCCCTCTGAAGGCCAAATATATGTGCATTAAATAAATGTTAAATATAATTCATAATACGGCATTCCTTTGGATGTGTGTATTGTGAAGACCTGTGTATCAATGCATGTTTGTATTTGAGTCTGTGTGAATGCACTTGTGCATGTCTGGATGACTAAATGTGCTTTTTTGTATATAGGGTCAGTGTGAATGCATATGACAAGTGACAGCTGAGGGAGGAAGGGGTGACAGGTGGAAGAGTGTGGAGGTTGGTGACAGGTGGCAGAGGAGGAGGGAGGGCTGAGTGGTGGCAGAGTGAGGGGAGACAGTGAGTGGGTGTGACTGGTGACAGAGTGAGGGAGTGGCAGGATCAAAGACAGAGGGAGGGAGATAGGGGTGACTAGTGACAGAGTGAGGGAAGAGATGACTAGTGGCAAAGTGAGGGAGGGAAGGGGTGACTAGTGACAGAGTGAGGGGATGACTGGTGACAGAGTGAGGGGGGTGACTGTCACTAGTCACCCCATCCCTCTCTCTGTCACTAGTCACTCCCTCCCTAACTCTGTCACTGTGTCACCCGCTCCCTCACTCTGTCACTGTGTCACCCGCTCCCTCTCTCTGTCACTAGTCACCCCATCCCTCTCTCTGTCACTAGTCACCCCATCCCTCTCTCTGTTACTGTGAAGGAAGGAAGGGGTGACTGGTGACAGAGTGAGGGAAGGGATGACTAGTGGCAGAGTGAGGGAAGGAAGGGATGACTGGTGACAGAGTGAGAGAGGGGGTGACTAGTGACAGAGTGAAAGAGGGGGTGACTGTCACTAGTTTCCCCATCCCTCACTCTGTCACTAGTCACCCCCTCTCTCACTCTGTCACTAGTCACCCCCTTCCCTCTCTCTGTCACTCCCTCACTCTGTCACTAAGGACAGAGGGGGTGTTTAGTGACAGAGTTAGGAGGGAGTGACTAGTGATAGAGAGAGGGAAGGGGTGACTAGTGACAGTCACCCCCTCCCTCACTCTGTCACTAGTCACCCCCTCTCTCACTCTGTCACTAGTCACCCCCTTCCCTCTCTCTGTCACTCCCTCACTCTGTCACTAGAGTGAGGGAAGGGGTGACTAGTGGCAGAGTGAGGGAAGGAAGGGGTGACTGGTGACAGAGTGAGCAGATGACTGGTGACAGAGTGAGAGAGGGGGATGACTAGTGACCCCCTCCCTCACTCTGTCACCTGTCACCCCCTCACTCGGTCACTAGTCACCCCCTCACTCTGTCACTAGTCACCCCCTCACTCTAGTGACAGAGTGAGGGACGGGGTGACTAGTGACAGAGTGAGAGAGAGGGTGACTAGTGACAGAGTGAGGAAGGGGGTGACTAGTGACAGAGTGAGGAAGGGGGTGACACAGTGACAGAGTGAGGAAGGGGGTGACACAGTGACAGAGTGAGGGAGGGGGTGACTAGTGACAGAGTGAAGGAGGTGGTGACTGTCACTAGTCACCCCCTTCCCTCCCTCACTCTGTCACTAGTCACCCCTTCCTCACTTTGTCACTAGTCACCCCTTCCCTCCCTAACTCTGTCACTAGTCACCACTTCCCTCCCTCACTCTGTCACTAGTCACCCCCTCCCTCATTGTCACTAGAGTGAGGGGGTGACTAGTGACAGAGTGAGGGAGGTGGTGACTGTCACTAGTCATTACCTCCCTCCCTCTGTCACTAGTCACCACCTCCCTCTGTCACTACTCAATCCCTCCTTCTGTCACTAGTCACCCCCTTTGTCCCTTACTCTGTCACTAGTCACCCCCTAACTCACTCTGTCACTAGTCACCCCCTCACTCTGTCACTAGTCATCCCCCTCTCTCACTCTGTCACCAGTCATCTGCTCACTCTGTCATCAGTCACCCCTTCCTTCCCTCACTCTGCCACTAGTCACCCCTTCCCTCACTCTGTCACTAGTCATCCCCTCACTCTAGTGACAGAGTGAGGGAGGGTGTGAGTAGTGACAGAGTGAGGGAGAGGGTGACTAGTGACAGAGTGAGGGGATGATTAGTGACAGAGTGAGGGAGGGAATGGGTGACCAGTGACAGAGTGAGGGGGGGTGACTAGTGAGGGAGGGGGTGACTAGTGACAGAATGAGGGAGGGGGTGACTATTGACAGAGGGAGGGAGATGGTGACTGTCACTAGTCACCCCATCCCTCCCTCTGTCACTAGTCACTCCCTCCCTAACTCTGTCACTAGTCATCCCCTCCCTCACTCTGTCACCAGTCACCCCATCCCTCCCTCTGTCACTGTGTCACCCACTCCCTCCCTAACTAGTCACCCCCTCCCTCTGTCACTAGTCACACTCTCCCTCACTCTGTCACTAGAGTGAGTGGGTGACTAGTGACAGAGTGAGGGAGGGGATGACAAGTGACAGAGGGAGGGGGTGACTAGTGACAGAGTGAGGGGATGATTAGTGACAGAGTGAGGGAGAGGGTGACTAGTGACAGAGTGAGGGGATGATTAGTGACAGAGTGAGGGAGGGAATGGGTGACCAGTGACAGAGTGAGGGGGGGGTGACTAGTGAGGGAGGGGGTGACTAGTGACAGAATGAGGGAGGGGGTGACTAGTGACAGAGGGAGGGAGATGGTGACTGTCACTAGTCACCCCATAGTGACAGTGAGGGGGGGTGACTGGTGACAGTGAGGGGGGTGACTGGTGACAGTGAGGGGGGGTGACTGGTGACAGTGAGGGGGGGTGACTAGTGACAGTGAGGGGGGGTGACTAGTGACAGTGAGGGGGGTGACAGTGAGGATGGGTGACTAGTGACAGTGGGGGGACTAGTGACAGTGAGGGGGGGTGACTGGTGACAGTGAGGGGGGTGACTGGTGACAGTGAGGGGGGGTGACTGGTGACAGTGAGGGGGGGTGACTAGTGACAGTGAGGGGGGGTGACTAGTGACAGTGAGGGGGGTGACAGTGAGGGTGGGGGGTGACAGTGATGAGGTGGGTGACTAGTGACAGTGAGGGGAGTGACAGTGAGGTGGGTGACTAGTAGTGACAGTGGGGGTGACTAAGATTTACAGTGAAGGAGTGACTGGTGACAGTGAGAGGGTGACTGGCAGTGAGGGGGGGTGACTGGTGACAGTGAGGGTGGGTGACTAGTGACAGTGAGGGGGGGGTGATTGGTGCCTACCTGTCTCTCTGCTTCCTCTCCCAGGCTGCAGCTCCTTCCCCTCCTGGCTCTGTGTGAAAGGAGTAAACAGGAAGTGAGGTCACTTCCTGGCCCCGCCTCTCCCATCACACAGAACCGCATGGGAGAGGAAGCCGGAGACCTGGCAGAGAGCAGGTGAAGCTGCCAGGTCTCATGGGGGGGGGGTGTGAATAGCAGAGCGGTAGGTTGTGGGGCCCCGCGCTGCATCAGGGGCCCCACAACCTATCAATGAAAAAGTTTTATTTTATTATTTTTTGCCATTCCAGTTGGAGAGATCTCTGATCTCTCCAGCTGGAACAAGGCTGTGCTGCCGGGCCCCTGACTGCCTCGGGCCCTCGGTCCGTGACCGATATGCCCGAGTGGTCAGTCCGCCCCTGGTCAGGAGTAGCTGACATGGTTGGAGTATATCAGTATCTTAATGCTTTAACCATTGTGAACATTGTATGCTGAGAGCTAATGAAGTTGCTGACATGTTTCATACCAGCAGTAATATTTAATAGAAAGATAAAGTTGTCATAGCAGGAGCACTAATGTAGATGCAATTATGTAAGGAAGAGCTAAGAAGGGGCTAGCAGACACACACTAGCAGTGTGTATGGAGTCAGCACTGTGTGTGTATGGACTTAGCAGTGTGTGTGTATGGACTCAGCAGTCTTTATGTGTGTATGGACTCAGCAGTCTGTGTTTGTGTATGTGTGTGTGTGTATGGACTCAGTAGTCTCTGTGTGTGTGTGTGTGTGTGTGTATGGACTCAGCAGTCTGTATGTGTGTATGGACTCAGCAGTCTGTATTTGTGTACGGACTCAGCAGTGTGTGTGTATGGATTCAGCAGTCTGTATGTGTGTGTGGACTCAGCAGTCTTTATGTGTGTATGGACTCAGCAGTAGGTGTGTATAGATTCAGCAGTCTGTATGTGTGTATGGACTCAGTAGTGTGTGTGTGTGTGTGTGTGTGTGGACTCAGCAGTCTGTGTGTGTGTGTGGACTCATCAATCTCTGTGTGTGTGTATGGGCTCAGCAGTCTCTCTGTGTGTGTGTGTGTGTGTGTGTGTGTGTGTGTGTGTGTGTATGGACTCAGCAGTCTGTGTGTGTATGGACTCAGCAGTGTGTGTGCATGGATTCAGCAGTCTGTATTTGTGTATGGACTCAGCAGTGTGTGTATGGATTCAGCAGTCTGTATGTGTGTATGGACTCAGCAGTCTGTATGTGTGTATGGACTCAGCAGTGTGTGTATGGATTCAGCAGTCTGTATGTGTGTATGGACTCAGCAGTCTGTATGTGTGTATGGACTCAGCAATGTGTGTGTATGGATTCAGCAGCCTGTGTGTGTGTATGGACTCAGCAGTCTGTATGTGTGTATGAACTCAGCAGTCTGTGTGTGTGTGTGTGGACTCAGCAATCTGTGTGTGTGTGGACTCAGCACTGTGTCTGTATGGACTCAGCAGTCTGTATGTGTGTATGGACTCAGCAGTTTCTGTGTGTGTGTGTGTGTGTGTGTATCTGTGTGTGTGGACTCAGCAGTCTGTGTGTGTATGGACTCAGCACTGTGTGTGGACTCAGCTTGGTCTGTATGTGTGTATGGACTCAGCTTGGTGTGTGTGTGTATGGATTCAGCAGTCTGTGTGTATGGACTCAGCAGTCTGTGTGTGTGTATGGACTCAAGCAGTCTGTGTGTGTGTGTATGGACTCAAGCAGTCTGTGTGTGTGTGTATGGACTCAAGCAGTCTGTGTGTGTGTATGGACTCAAGCAGTCTGTGTGTGTGTGTATGGACTAAAGCAGTCTGTGTGTGTGTGTATGGACTCAAGCAGTCTGTGTGTGTGTATGGACTCAGCAGTCTGTGTCTGTGTGTGTATGGACTCAGCAGTCTGTGTGTGTATGTGTGTATGGACTCAGCGGTCTGTGTGTGTGTGTGTGTGTGTGTGTATGGACTCTGCAGTCTGTGTGTGTGTGTGTGTGGACTCTGCAGTCTCTGTGTGTGTGTGTGTGTGTGTTTGGACTCAGCAGTCTCTGTGTGTGTATGGATTCAGCAGTCTGTATATGTGTGTGTGGACTCAGCAGTCTGTATGTGTGTATGGACTCAGCAGTCTGTATGTGTGTTTGGACTCAGCAGTCTGTGTGTGTATGGACTCAGCAGTATGTGTGTGTGTGTGTGTGTGTATGGACTCAGCAGTCTGTGTGTGTATGGACTCAGTCTGTGTGTGTGTGTGTGTGTGTGTGTATGGACTCAGCAGTCTGTGTGTGTGTGTTATGGACTCAGCGGTATGTGTGTGTGTGTGCATGTGTGTATGGACTCAGCAATCTGTGTGTGTGTGTGTGTGTGTGTATGGACTCAGCAGTCTGTGTGTGTGTGTATTGACTCAGCAGCCTGTGTGTGTATGGACTTAGCAGTCTGTGTGTGTGTGTGTGTGTATGGGCTCAGCAGTCTGTGTGTGTGTGTATGGACTCAGCAGTCTGTGTGTATGGACTCAGCGGTCTGTGTGTATGGACTCAGCAGTCTGTGTGTGTGTGTGTGTGTGGACTCAGCAGTCTGTGTTTGTGTGTGTGTGTATGGACTCAGCAGTCTGTATGTGTGTGTGTTTATGAACTCAGCAGTCTGTGTGTATGGACTCAGCAGTCTGGGTGTGTGTGTGTGTGTGAACTAAGCAGTCGGTGTGTATGGACTCAGCAGTCTGTGTGTGTGTGTGGACTCAGCAGTCTATATGTCTGTGTTTGTATGGACTCAGCAGTCTCTGTGTGTATGGACTCAGCAGTGTGTGTGCATGGATTCAGCAGTCTGT